CCCACGCCTCCGCCCAAGCCATGAGCTCGAGGTCCACCGATGTGACACTCTCGAAATTGTCGAGCTTCTTGTTGGGGAACAGCATCATGGTGCTGTTGACAGTGTTGTCGGGGCGCATCTTGTCGCGGATGAGGACCGAGTACTGGGCCTTGAGCATGTGACTGATGCAGATGCACAGCTTGGCCTTGGCGACACACATGGACGCCAGCTCCTGCTGCATGGCGATGTCACGGACAAGGGTGCACTCGGCGGGGACGGCGTGGTTCTCTTCCGCGAGGAGCTCAATCTCGAAATCGTTTTCAGTCAGCATGGGCACGTCGTAGTCCTCATCCTTGATGCGGGTGGGACGGCGCATGCCGAGGGCGACAAGACGATCACGCATAAAGCAGGACCACCAGATGCGCTTCCACAGCTTCTGCTTGCGCAGGGGCATGCTCGTCGTGGCGGGGTTACGGTGGAGGCCAATGGTGTGGGCGAGGGAGATGGCGACGCCCATCCAGTGCCAGGTATCCTTCTGATCATCGGGCGTCTCGTACCAGTAGGTCATGAGCAGCAGAGCTTGGACGAGGACGAGGCGATCGGACTCGTAATCGAAGTCGTAGAGAAGCTGGCAGGGAGAGAAAAAAAGCATGTGAATATGGGGGTTCAAGCAACGGAGCAGGGGTGTCAAGGGTGGGGGGGGGGGTGCGGGAGACGCGGACATACCCTGGTCTTGGAGAAGAACGATCTCCTAGCGGCCTTCCTAGTGGAATAGCCTGCCTCTTTCAGGGCCTTCATGTCGACAAAGGCCGTGGCCGCAAACATGATGGCCTGGTAGAGAAACAGGCTGACCTGACCGCACAGGCCATCACGAGCATTGACAGCGCCTAGGAACTCGCGGAGGTCGAGCAGGGGCATGTAGGGGTGAACGTATTCGACGTACGCCTGGAGGAGGGCGGTCTGGAGAGGCAGCGGCGGCAGGGAGAGCGCACCCTTGGTATGGAGGTACTTGACATCCTCTGAGGCGATGCGGGCGGGCAGTGGTTTGACAAAGGCTGGCAGCTGCGCCTGGAGATCTGGCTCCTCGAGCGAGGCGAGGAATTGACTGGTTCGCAGGTCGCCAAAGGAAGTCTGTGATGAGAATGATGATGACGATGCTGCGGCGGCCGATGATGAGGTGACAGCCTGGGCGCGGGTCAGGAGGTTGGCCAGCAAACGACGGGCGTTTGAGTCTTGTGCCGCTGCGGCCTGCAGCTTGCTGAGGAGGTGGGCATTGGCGTTGGCCGTAGCTTTGGCATTGGCATCCTGGCGGAGCGCAGATTGTTGATCTAATTCGACCACAGGGGTCTCGTGGTCAGCTGCAGCCTCTTTGACAAGTTCGCGTCTGACAGATTGGCTAGTGTAACATGATGGAAAAAAAGAACGAGGGGCATGACGAGGACGGACTCGAGGAGGATGGCATGTGAAAGTGGAGAGGGGTCGAAAGAGAGGGAGGCAGGAGGAGCATCCCCGAATCGAGCACTCCCCCGACTTGTCACCCCCAAACCCGGAGCCTCCAAGCCCAGAACCCCAATTTCCCCGCCAGAAGCAGACGGCACGTGCTTGTCGGAGCTGTGGCTAGCGGGTAGGAGGCTGAGTGAGGCTAGAGCCCGACGGTCCCAGCCCACATTCCACCAGTCCCCTTTCTCCTTGCAAGGGCCCTCTCTCCTTGCAAAGGGGGGGGGGGGGGGGGGCTAAGGGCCCAAAGCCCCAGAGCCCCAGAACCCCAGCGCGGCAGAAAAGGAGTGGTCCCATCAGGGCTTCCTTCGATTGGGGAAGCCGCGCGCTCTAGAAACCCCAGCGCCGGGACAGGGTGCAGCCCAAGGGGGGAAACAGCCCGATCGGAGTTTTTCC